CCCTCCTCTCCTGTGCTTCCCCTTACTTCTTAGCAAACCTTTGCTGCTTGACCAGGCCCCCTCACTTAAACCACCCTGAGATCAGCTCACTTGCCTGCCTCATCCACACCAGTGCACAGCTATTCTTGATCCACTTGCCCTGCTCGCTTGTCAACACCTTGGACGTCACTCAAACCACCCACTACCGCAAGCCCAGATCACTTGCCTGCCACCCCTCTTGGTTACCCTGCTGTTGCAAATCCAGTTTTCTTGCTCATGGCCCACCTGCTCACTTTGCCCTTGAGCAATGGCAGTGGCAGCACGACAATCGGCAGCATAACAATGCACTAGTACAAATGTAATACACAGAGAAATTTCTAGCCCACCTTTTCTCGAAGCAGCTCATGGCAGAATTGGTTCTCTCCCTAACCCCCATTTAGTGACTTGCTCATTGCCACTCAAGGCTCAGGAGGAATTTGAACCAGACAACACTGTAAAACAACTACACTTAACTCCCCCTGTCCTAAGGCTGGGCATCTTTTTCATACTTCACCTGATTTGTAGTCAGCAAGAACCACTAGTGGACACTGGAAGATGACTTAAACTGAGTCAGGCCATAGGTTCATGTAGCTTAGAACCATAGGTGCCAACTCAATGGGGCTGAGGACAGCTCAGCCCCCCAAAGTATGTGCGGATGGGACTGAGCCCCCCAGTCTTGAGGAGCTAGTGTCCCCCCCCCATGATGGCAGAGGGCCTTGCTATGCCTACTCATGGTGGCAGTAGGCCTCCCCAGGCCTTGCGGCCTTCTCTCGATGCACGTAACATCACATGTGTGTGTTGCGTGTGTGATGTTGTGCCCTTACGATGAGCCCCTCAGTGTTATGTGGAACTTAGTGCCTCTGCTTAGAACTGACTAGCTGTGGTTCTTCAGACTTGGGACTTGCCAAGTCCAACTTGGAGGGGCCAGGAATTGAAAAATGGTGCCTTCTGCTTCCAAAGCAGCTGCTCTGCCACCGGAAGTTTTATTTCAAAATGTTGACTGGACACATTTCAACACGAGTGCCCACATCTTTGTCCAACACAAGGATGGAGAAGCTGAGACCCTTTTGATGCAGCTGGGCTCCCATCAGCCCCATTCAGCATGGTGAAAGGTCACAGCTGATGAGATTTGTAATTCAACAACTCTTATTTATCTGCATGATAAATAACGTCAGGATAATTTGCCAATCTAAAAACATTAAAGCTGTGAAGCACAGTAACACATCAAAACCAGTACTAAAATTCTAAGTTAACAACAGAAATGGGTGACATTGATAACTGTCCCCAAATGACTTTGCTGAAGAGAAATATCAGCAATATAGACACTAGCAGTATTTCTGATGGAAGATCCATATATTGGATGCTGCCAGAGAAAAGTCCCTGTTTCAAATCATTGCCTGTTGTACCACAGTTCCTGGTGGTGAGATCTCCAGAAAGGCCTCTTTGCACATCTCAGGGCTGATATAGAGAGAAGTCTGTGACAATCCAAACTCTTACCATTACTCTACAGCTGCAGTTCAGTACTGCAGAGAGAGAGGTGGTGGAGGAAATCTTAAAATTGGGCTACCAACTGGATAAGTATTATTGCTTCCATGGGAAGCTGCTGAAAAGATCCGTTGCATGTTATTTTCAGGGATATCTAGAGACAGATGGAAGTAATAAATAAGATCTGTAAAGAGATTTGAATGAAATGAGCAGCAAGTCACCCTGTGTTGCATAAGAAACAGCAGTTGCTCTAGATCGCTATCGTAAAAGCTCATCAGAGCAGACTGCTCTTGACATTGACAATGACCAGATGCTTAGCTTAAAAAACATCTAGTTTCCCTTCCAAATTAACTTTTGCTCTGCAACTCAGCTGCTTCCTGTTTCAAATCTGCTTCCAAAGTGCTCTCTATTCTTTTGGCAACATAATTATTAGATCCTCAAGCACAATCGAAAGCCCTGATAGTGGATGAAAAGAGATGCTTGTCAAATCGATTTCTCCATGTTGCAATGAGTGTACCTGCGAGGGCTTTTGCTTCATTCACTGACATGCCTAACCGCATCCTTCAAATCCTACACAGGTGTGGCCAGACTTTGAGAAGCAGGAAATAGGGCAGTGAGTACAAGAGCGGACTCCACTTTCCCATCTTGATTAGCCTCAACTTCTTGAGTGAGGTCTTAATAAGTAGTGCAGCCAAGGGGCAGCCAAGTTAATGGAGACCATTCCAGATTATTTTTCACTCAGCTGAACCTTCCTCAGTGATGCACAGCCTAGTATGTAATGATGCCCTTTTGTGACTGTTCAGTTTAGTGATCAAATTTTCTGAAAATCTTGAAGCTGAGCTTATCTGCACGTATTTTCCCACTAATTTGCATCTTGTTCCTTGATCTAGTCAAGAAGTGGGTTATATCTTTTTTCAGTCCAGGTAGAAATATGAACCATTAGTACTTATTACACACAACGAGAGAGGTATTCAACTAAATAGTTACGTTAGCAGAATCATTAGTGCTAGGGCAATGGGATTTCCCCTCTGAGCAACCTTGGGACGATGGCAGTGGGAAGGGGAAGTCTGATTCTATCTCCCTGTGCCACACAAAGGCCCCCAAAAATGCCTTTTGGAAACTGCTATTTGCATTTGACAGGAATCCTCCCTTGACTTCAATTGCATTTGTTTAGATTTAATTTGGCCTTGAGGCTTTTGTGGTGGCAACAGCAAGAGTCAGGATCAGGCCAGTTTCTCTGCTTGGAAAATGGGTGATTGTAGGGTGGCAGAGAGTGGAGCTGAGGAAGGGGTGCATCCTTCTCCTTCTGCCCATCAGAACTGATGGGATTTGAGCTAGTCATGCATCATCATTAGACAGGTTGAAGTATTCTGTCATTACTGAGTGATTTGCCTCCAAAACCATTTATCTCCATCTCCAGCTTGCTTAAAAGTATGTTGGAACAGTTCACACTGAGGGTCTCTTATGTGCCAAGAGTTTTTAGTGGTGTATCCTTCATAATACAGCTGTGTCAACTTTGATGCTTTAGGTTTGATCGAATGGGAATGTTGGCATGTTATATTTTATGATGACTGATGACATTTTGGTAGGATACAGATGGTACTGCTATGAGCTCTAGATCATTTGCATTCTCCATCTCTTGGAGCGGCTGGCTGGGTTTTTGTTTTGGACAATGTGATGGAACTGGTAGAAACTGGTAGATCAGGAGGAGGCACCTGTATATCTCTGGAATATTGCTATAGATTATTTTGTAAGCAGAAGCAAGGCAGATGATTTGAGAAGGGAGTCGAAGAATATTGTGGATCATTCGCCAACATCCCAAATATTAGAGTGCTGACTCCAGTCCAGATGGGCCAAGCCAGGAAATTGAGAATATAGGAACTAGAAGCTGCCTTATCTGACGGTTTGGAACACCTGGTTCAATATTGTCTGCAATGGCTGACAGTCTTTCATGCCTGGTGCTAGTAAGGATTGAACCTGGCATTTTTTCCATGCAGTATATGTGCTCTACTACTGAGTGTGATGTTAACATATGAGAGAGTGCTGGAGGTGAAATAGTTAAACAGGTTGCCCAGTCAGGACCCAGGGGGGTGGAGTCAGTGGGACTATAAAACCAGCTCTGGGAGGGGCAAAGGGCAGAGTTCGTTGAGGAGTTGGGCGGTTGGTTGGAGTGGGAGTGAATTGGGCTAGAGTTGTGGGTAGGTTGAGTTAGTGTAACAAAATAGGCTGAGTCAGGAACAGTTAGGGCCTAGGAAGACAAGTAAATATCTGAGAGGTGGTTTAGTGAGTGAGAGCAGGTAGCGGAAGTTATAGGTCTGGATAGGCACCCCATGAATTTAATTGACCGATACCGTTTATGAAACCATACGCTTGTTAAACTGCAATAAATAAACAGAAGTTTATGTTTCAGTTTAGCCCTGACTGGACTCAGTATTGTCCCAGATAGGGCCTGGGTGGTGGCAGCAAGAAATAAAGTCGTGGCACAGGGATCAATAGACAGTGAAACGTCCGAGGACCCTGTGTGATTGCCACACTGAGCTACAGCCCTTTCTGCCAGTTTGGTAGCTTAGTCCTATCTCCTTAGAGATAACCCTTATTTGACTTTTGGCACACATTAGAATCATTGAGTAACCCTGGATATTATGGGCAGAGGTTTAAAGTCATTCTATATCATGGCCATCAACTCCCTTTTCCCTGGATTTGTTTAAAGGTGTGTATATTTTTAAGAAGATCTCATATTTCTTTGGTTTTTGAATTTATCATAGAGAACCGCAAGCTGCAATTATTTTCTGCATCATGAAATATTTATGGTCGGCTAATTAACTTGCTAAGTTTTATAGTCGTTTTGGAAATGTTTACACACACACACACACACACACACACACACACACTAAGTTCAGTGTGAAATTCACACAGTAAAAGTGTCAGAATTAACATATGCTGTTTTCCAAACATAAAAATTTGATTTCCCTCCCCCCTTTGGACATTAAATTGATTTGGGAGAAGTTAGGTTTCCTTTACCCCCACTTCCAAATTTCATCCAAGTAAAATATTAATTTTATACCATTTTTCATGATGGTGCTGCTCCACAACCTACTCCAAACTAAATACCAGAAATGTGTCTTTTCAGTCTTTCTTCATAAGTGAGTCATGGAATACGGTGGATTTTTTATTTTATTTTTGTAAATACTTGTTTTCCCTTTCACAGGGCTGGTGGCCATGTATGCAAAATTTCGTGTATGACTCAGCCCTTGGTTTCTGCTTATCTATGCATCTAAAAAGCTAGCTCTTGACAATCCATCCCACTCTTACAATATACTGTCAATCAAGTGTGTGACCAAGAAACAGAACCCAGGTTGGTACAAAAAACATGGGAGCAGGTTAATGACACCCAGGGATGAGGAGCAAGTTTATCATGGACCCAGAGTCCATCCTTTCACTTTCTTGCATAGCAATGAATGGCTGCCATTTATTTCTGTAGGGAAAAGCAAGGGAAAGGCTCTTGTTTAGTGAAGAACATCTGTTTTACATGCAGAAGATTCCAGGTTCAATCCCTGGCATCTCCAGGTAGAAGTGGGAAGGGCAATGCTCCTATCTTCCTAAGGAAAACACTATATTTCAGGACACTGATGTGTTGCGGATGAAGCCTGCCTTCTACCCTGTAGACTAGCTAGCGTGTCCTTTTTTATGGAGATCTTGCAGGAGTTTACAATCTGCCTGTGTGCACTGAGGTTACATATATACTTTAGTTGAGATTCTTGTTTTGCAGGGGGTTGGACTAGATGACCCTCGAAGCAGTGGCGTAGCGTAGCTTGCCAGTATCCAGGGCCACACAGAGAAGTGAGTGGGAGGGAGGGAAACAAATGGAGTATGCCTGCACATTCAACTGCCTGGCGGCGTCCGTGTCACCCAGTAGATGGCGGTCACAGAGATAAGAAAAGAAGAGTCGTTCTGTTGTCTGGAGAGATCTTTTCCTGGTTTGCATGGAGAAGGCGTTTTTAAAGGAACCCAGTGACAGAAGAGCACAGCTGAATTGAAGCAGCACCAGTTGCACCCCCTAACAGTTTTGCAACTGGGACAGCTGCCCCTGTGGCCTCCCCCCCATGCTCTGCCACTGCTTCAAGGTCTCTTTCAACTCTACAATTCTATGATATGCATTGCACCCTCATAAGCCTTAGGGCCTAAGGACTACAGCAGTACTACAAGCCTTCTCTCTATGGACACCCACTCATCACAATGACTAGCATTTTTCATAGCATTTTAATAAATCACAGCTTTACGAAATGTGGGAGAATGAGAAAGCTCTCCCAATGAAAGTGTTGCTTTTAGAATATTGTGCATGCAGCGTGGGCGTTTGCTTGCTTTTCCGACGCAGTTTTTGTGCTTTTTGGAATTGATGTAAGGCTTTAGTTCATGCCAGTTGGCATAGTTGTCTCTTTTCCAAAGTCCATGCTGTGTCACTATTTCACAAAATACAGTCCCAATCTGTCAAAATATCATCTTCACTCTTCTCTGGAACTGACTCCCTGACTCCTGCAATTACTTTAAAGCAGGAGCGGGTTGAAATTGTTGCCTGTTATGACAGCATCCAAAATCCCCAGAGGCAAGGATTCCTATTTATTCTTACAGCCTCATCTAACTGCAACACACACACACACACACACACACACACACACACACACGTCCCTGCAGTGATCAGAATTTTAAGAGTGCAGAAGGATGTTTGTCACCTGTTCGAAAGTCTTTAAGCGTGGCTGAAAGTGCTCGGCTAGTTGCCATTTCCCCAGAAATGTTCACTTTTAGAATGATTGTTATTTCAAGCACTTTGGCCTAAATTGTGGTAATTTGCTCAGTTGATTGCCTCACTTAGACCAGCGTTTGCCCGCCTGGCACTTCCCCGGTTTCATCAGGCCCTAGTGTGCTGGTGGGAGTAGCAGTCCACAATATCTAGAGGGCACCAGGTTGGGGAAGGCTGTCTTAGACTATTTCAGAATAAATATAAAAAGGTAGAGGAGGGAGGATAACTGTGGACTAGTGTGGTAATTTATCTCAATTTCTTTTCTGAACATTGGTTAGGTTCCAGGATAATATGGATTATTTATACAGGAAGTGAAGTAAAGAATAGTATATACATGAGTTTGTGGGTGCCACTAACTAAATTCCTGGGTCTGTTAGGTGGTAGAATTTAATCAAGGCTTGGGGAGTTGCAGAATTGGACAAAATGACAGGAAGAATTCGAAACCTGCGGGACCAGAGATTTACAGAAGATTGGAAGAAGTATATGAATTATTTGAAGAGCAACTGTAATCAACAAATTACGCTAGTAGGACTACAATAAGTTTTGTAAGGAGAAATATACAAAGTGTTACAAAGTAGAAAAAGATAATGATATTGGTTATGAGTTTGAAATGCAATAGGGAAGATAAGAAATGCATACTGAGAGATTGGATTGGAGAATTTTCAGACAGGATTGATGGAAGTCAAAAATTTGAATAAGATGTAAAAGTATGTTTAATTACTGTTGAAAATGATACGTTTAAAAAAACTAATAAAAAAATTATATTAAAGAAAAAAAGGCTTGGGGAGTTGAATCGGATGCCAGACACCTAATCCCTGGACCCAGCTTCCCGTGTTCCGATCGCCTGGGAGATGGCCCATTAAGAGAAGAAAGGAAAGGTAACGAGCCATTGAGAAAGCCAAAGAGAGGGGGTTCTGTGCTAAACAGCAAATGGGTGGGGCCCCTCCTCCAACCCTGAGATAGAAGAACAAAATCTAGAGTTTATAGCAGAGAGTTGGCTGTGATGTGATCTATAGGGGAAAAGATTACAGGCTGGTAAAGGCAACAAGCTGAAAAATGAAAGAAGCAGAGCATGATGTTTGATGTCTGTTTGAATCCAAGGCTGCAGCTATGGCAGATACAAGACCCTTTTAGGGTGCTGATGCTGCCACACACACACACACACCCCTATCACAAGCCCAGGTTGTATATATGTGTAAATAAATACATCATAAAGACACACAGTCTCTGCTGTCCCTGAGTCCCAAAAGGAAACACGGATCATAGGTAAGCGCCTGGAACCCCTGGAATCTCACACCGCTCAGAGATTGGGGTGGCATGCAATAATATATAATATAGTTTGAATTGTTGTCTCCCTCCCTCCCCACCACAGATCTTCCCGTAGACCTAGGCCTACCTTCTGCCCATACTTAGTCGGCAATATACCATACAGAAATGAGCTCCGCTTTAGAGGAGGTATGGCCTAAGAAACAGAGAATTGCCCTCAATTTCACAAGAGAATCCCATTATGAATTTAGAAAGGCACTCCTGACCTTTTTGCTTTCCGGTCCTTTAGCCATAAAGCTGTTTGTGTGTCAGTTTGGCTAGAGTTGCGCAATCACTTTTCTCATGTATTTTCTCTCACCCCTGCCCCTGTTTGTTTATCTTCTCTTTTCTTTCCTGTGATTATACCATGAGCCACCCGCCACCCACAATGCGCTACTGTGCAATAGTTCTCAGCAAGATCTCCAAGTTAAGCCTAAAGGTTTTCTTGGCTAGACACCGAGCAAAAGGCAAGCGTTGTGTCACAGTCAGATTTTAAGTTTTGTCTTGTTTGCAAAATGTAAACCAGGTTAGCCAATGCTAATCCTCTAGTCTTAAGGACTGTACTTGTAATTCTATGATCAAAACCCCTTCCGTTTAAGAGAAGGCTCTTAGAAATCTACTCATGCTTCAGAAAGCATGGAAACTCTTTACTAAACTGTTAACTGAGCTGTCACTTTAACTTACACACCATGTAAGCAGAAAAGGACATACTATAGCAGGGGTCAAGAACTGGATATGGCCTGAGGGACACGTTTCCACATCCCTCACCTCCTTGGCCACCAGGTGGGTGGAACTGCCCACCTGTCAGTCACCTGATGTCATAATGGTACCAAGCGAAGCCTTTTCCTTTTGCACAGCAAAATACAGGAATGGAAGCAATTTTGGGTAACCAGATACAGTGGTACCTCGGGTTAAGTACTTAATTCGTTCTAGAGGTCCATTCTTAACCTGAAACTGTTCTTAACCTGAGGTACCATTTTAGCTAATGGGGCCTTCCGCTGCTGCCACACAATTTCTGTTCTCATCCTGAAGCAAAGTTCTTAACCTGAGGTACTATTTCTGGGTTAGCGGAGTCTGTAACCTGAAGCATCTGTAACCTGAAGCATCTGTAACCCAAGGTACCAGTGTATTCTGAATCAGGCAGCTAATGAACCATTTAGTTTAGTATTAGCTACACTGACATTCAACTGCATTTCAGACAAGAGGTCTTCCCTGAAGATGCCAGGACCTAAATCTGGGACTTTTGCCATGTAACGCATGTCTTCTTCCACTGAGCATCCCTGTGATCCTAAATATACTTATTTAAAAGTTAGTTCTATGGAAATCAATAGGACTTAGTACTCAAGTGAATATGTTCTGCATTCAAGAGGATGTGTGCTCAGAATCATCTCATCCTTATTAAGAGACAAAGTTTTTCACTGACTTTTAACCACAGCAAAATCAATTCAGCCGATGTCTTGCACTAGAGAGAATTAATGAACTATGCACCTGAAATCCCACTGACAAAAGAACAAAAACCATTACTATTGGGAGGTCATATTCTAGATCTGCATAGCCTTAGGGCCTTGAAAACCCACCACAAGCTCCCAGGGTGTGTTATCTTCAAATATTTGCAGTAACCATTAGGACACCGGCAGATATCCCCCACCCAGAACTTCCTAGTCACATCCATGCAGCCCAGCTGTGTGTGTCTACGCACTTCAAGTGTTCCAGTTTTCCTAGGACTTCCCCAGAATTACAGAAGCCATTTTGGCTTCTGATTTAATTCCAGAATGCCCCCTTTTTTGCCCTCTAGCACCGCCACTGAGCCACCGTTTGCAGTGCTGCCACCAAAAGACACGTGTCCTGAATTTCATCAGAGGAATGTTGGAGGGTATGTTCTCTCTCTCTCTCTCTCTCTCTCTCTCTTACACACACACACACACACACACACACACACACACACACACACACAGTCATTACATCCCTGCCCACTTACACAAACTCTTTCCTATCAGCCACAAACCAAGAATTACTTGACTGCACTCTGACAGCTTCAGCTTATTTATTTATTACTTTTATATCCCAGCTTCTCCTACAAGAAGCTCAAGGTGCCGTATATTTTTGTGTCCTCCCCCCCAAAAATCCCAATTCATTCCCACAACCCTGTGAAGTTGGTTAGGTTAAGAGGCAGTGAGTGGCTCAAGGTCACCCAGCATGGTTTGTGTTCGACTGAAGATTCAAACCCTGGTCTCTCACTGCACCACAATGGGGGGGATGCAAAATGCTCTCTCCCCCCTAAGGCAATAAAGTTCCTTGACCTGACACAGCGATGGGGGAACCATTGTCAGACCCAGGAATGTATTTATTTCTTGGCAACCTTCTGAAGTCCACGTTCCTGCGGTGGGCGGAGCCAAAGGCAAAAATGGGAGAAGTAACTGAGGCACCTATGTACAGTAAGCTAGTTTCTACACACATCCATGC